GGAGGGAGGAAGCGGGAGGAGGAAAAAAGAAATTGCCAGGTTTTAAGATAAATTAATTTCTTTCCCAGTACAGACAATACTACTACTAGGTCCTGATGATAAAGTTCTTGCTCTTCCTATTCATCTGGGTCCAGAGTAACTGTCATATGTTTTTACTGCTTTTTAGAATAAATATTTCAATTTTTTAATATAAACATATATACTCAAAAGAATCTCACACCCAGAACATATAGATCTCCTGCAACTCAAAAATAAGAAGAGAGCCCAACTAAAAAGTGAGCAACAGATCAACAGTCTTTCTCCAAAATATATCCAAATGGTCAATAGGCACAAGAAAGATGCTCAATACCATCAGTCTTGAGAACCAGCAATAACAAAACCGCAATGGGATGCTATTTTACATCCGTAGGATGACCGAAATGAAAAAGGCAGTAACAAGTCAATCATGATGGAACAGCCCTGTAGTCCCAGGACTTGGAAGGCTGAGGCAGGAGCATCAGTTGGAGCCTAGACCGCAAGATCCACTCTAAAAAAAGGGTAAGTGTTGCAGAGATGAGGATACAGCTCAGTGTAGATCACTTGCCTAGCACGTGCAAAGTTCTGGGGCCCATTCCCAGTGCTACACACACAAGCGTGAGCAGTGTGAGTGTGCACGAGAATGCATGCTGGTGAGGGTGAGAGCATAAAGGAACTGAGAACTAGGACAGCTATGTTGCTGCTAGAATTGGAAATTATAAAATGGTGTGGTCACTACAACCTGAATATTCACCGCATCATTCACAATAGACAAAAGGCAGAGAAAACCCAAATACCTACCAGTCCATGAATGAGTAAACTCAATGTGGTGTATGAATGCAATGGACTATCAGTCAGTCACAAAAAGAGTAGAGTACTAGTACAACCTAATATGAACAAACTTTACAAACATTACACTAGGTGAAAAGAAGCCAACAACAACAGGACCAGATGGTTCTATATCAGATGATTTCATTCACACGAAATACCCAGAACCAGAAACCTAGAGTCAGAAAGTCAGATAAGCAGCTGCTGAGGGGCAGGGTTTGGAGGAATGGGGAGAAGCAACTGCTAAAAATTAGGGTTTGGGTTTTTTTTTTGAGTGGCAAAATGTTCTACAATCAAACAGTGGTGATGGACACACAATTCTAAGAATGCACTTTTTTAAAAAGTGGATTATAGACTTTAGAAAGATAACTTCACATATGTGAATGACATCTCAAAGCCTGTTATTTTAAATGAGTAGACATTCTGTTAATTTAAGGTAATATGCTAAATTTTAACCATTTTTAACTACCTCTCTGACTAATCCCATTCATAAAACGAAGGCCCAAGATCAAAAATATTAAACTATAAGGGTTTCTTGGCTTTGCACTGACATTGGGACTGGATAATCCTTTGCTGTGAAGGAATGTCCTGTATTTTATAGAAATGGCAATACCCAAGA